TTTAAGTTTGAAAAAAGAAAAATAGTAATCTGCCTGTTAACAGTTACTAATTAACTACACTTATCTGAACACGAAAGATAAAGCCTCATTGTTTTACAATACTTGAGAGTGAACAGGGACGAGAACGAATTTTATTGTAGTGTTTTAATGTATAGTAATTTTATATGTTTCTTGCCTTTTTTCTTCTCTGATTCAAAAGTGGTGTTCTTGCTGAGCTGGCGAGCATTAAACTGTTTAACATAAAAGTCACCAGCATGTTTTTTACATGCTTTGAGTGCTGCAGCAGTCGGCTTATCACATATATATAGAATGCATTTTTTAGACCTCCAATGTTCCCAACAGCCTTTAGCTCTGTGACAAGGTCTGTTACATAAAAAACCATTATTGTGGAGGTATTGGCAAGTATAGGGTAACATTAGTATAAAATATCTTGTAATATTATTAATTAATTATTCATTAAATATAACGATTTTCAATTTAGAAAAAAGCATAATTATATGTAACAAATAAAAAACTATATATTTATTATAGCTGAACAAAATAAACAAAATATCAATACAAATTTGATTACAGTAAAAGATATTGAAAATGTATTACTTGAAGTCTTAAATATAGCAATTCGTTGAAAATTTAAAATTGATAGTAAATTTGTTAAAGACCATCTAAGTTATGTAACTAGATTACAGTCAGCAAAAGAACTGGAAAAGTATATTCGATATAAAGCAAGGTAACTCATGCCAGATGAGGCATCATACAATAGAAGAATAGAGTATATTCATAGTCACTATTCAGGAGAATTATGTGAAAAACTTGAAAAATTATATAAGCTTTATTACGAGTTATCTCAGGAGGAAGAAAAAGATGAAATTTCTGAGATAGATGCAAGTGAAATTATTAAGGGTCTTCTCAAAATGTCTATCAAATAAATAATATTATCCTTGTCTAAATAGGAAACATATTACTTAATTACTTGTTCCACATATCCCGTAACTGATCACTTTTTTTACCTATACTTAATTCGCGTCTCAATACAACAAACCATATAACAGCAATAATCAGTATGATAAATAATATATATGCAGATAAAGGTGACATCAAAGTACTTGTCACAATAGGTATTGCTTCTATTCCTCCTACAGAAATCTGCGGATTTGAATTTATACGTGTGTCTAGCATAATATCTTTACTAATTTCGCTATTATTAGTTTCAGATACGTTAGCATCCTCACTCCATGAGTCACTTACATTGGATATAGGAATGACTCCATCATCATCATTGATTTTTTCACTCTCATCCATATTTTTTTTGCGTACTATAAATGGCCTAAGATCTTTGATAGGTTCACTAATTATAGAGATATTAGATGCGAAAGCATCCTCATTCTGTGAGTCAGACTTGGCTATATTTTTTTTGTCATCTCCACCAACTATTGCGGAGGAGGCCATTAGATGATTCTTCGAATTATAGTCTAAAGAGTCTACAGGTTTTGATATAGCCTCCGATTTCAGGTGATCGAGTTCACTTCTCATACGCTCCAATTCAACTTCTATTTGTTTAAACTTATCTATTTTAGATTTAAGGGATAGATTCTCAGATTCTGTTTTTGATAAGTTTTCCTGAATCGAAAATACGTCTTTTTGAGCTAATGCTAACTTACCCTCCAATAT